GTTTGTAACGTAGGCCAGACTTAGAAAATAAACAGTGCAGACTGTTTTCGATAATTTGTCAAAAATATAAATAAACGATCAGTCATGATCTGACAACATGAACAATTTTATTCGGAAGTTGGGGATCATTTAAAAGTAATAAGGCTCTGTTTGTTTTTTTTATTTTATGTGTATGCAGAACAGTTGTACGTAACATTATGTTCTCCGTCGTTTTTAATTGCACAAGAGAAGAGGGATTGAAATGAAGGGGGCACTGGAGGGGCAGGGTTAGAATTAGAGTTATGGGTGAGGGTAAGAAACTCTTGCAGTTGCGATTATAGTTTGTGATATTATCAGTGCTGTGTAAGAAATCTGATTACAATTTTCAATTTTGCAGACTGCTTACTAAGCCCAAAAGTGAGATGACCCCCGAGGAGTTGGCCAAGAGAGAGGAAGAGGAGTTTAACACAGGACCATTGTCTGTCCTTACACAATCAGTAAAAAACAACACACAAGTTCTCATCAATTGTCGGAATAACAAAAAACTCCTTGGAAGAGTTAAAGCTTTTGACAGGTAAGTTTACAGTCAAGTTATTCTTTATTCCTAGTTTGCTCTGAATAGAAGTGTAAGTTACACAATATTTGCATACAATGTTCACTGGTTTGTTAAAATATTATATTGATCAAAGAAGTACCTCTGTCATTTACAAGAGCATGTGCTATTAATGGAAAAAATATGGTACTTTCCAGAGCTAGTCATTGCAGTTTTCTGGAATAAAAACAATTTACAATTCACCATAACAATGAGTATAATAGCAAATAAGTCACTTCTCAGAGTAATTGTTCCGGGGAAAACACTGCATTGCTATAACACTTTCTATGCAATCAATCAAGTATGGTGTCCCTTAAAGTTGCTAGCTCTTTGATGATATTTGCTGCTGTCTGTGTGAAGAGCAGCCATTGTATAAAATATACTGTAAATCCAGTAATCAAATTATTCATCTTGGCACTACCTTGTAATAAACATGCATCTTTTCTTGTGTTATTCTGTTTCTTTGCAGACATTGCAACATGGTGTTAGAAAATGTTAAAGAGATGTGGACAGAGGTGCCGAAGACGGGCAAGGGGAAAAAGAAATCAAAACCAGTAAACAAAGACAGATACATTTCAAAGATGTTCCTCCGAGGAGACAGTGTTATATTGGTTCTTCGAAATCCACTAGCAACACAGAAGTGATTATTCTTGTTGCAGATTAGTTACATGGGTTAAGTCAAACTTGGGGGGGAGGGTACAAAGATTTCAGTTTGACTGTGATCACATTTTCAATAGCAATAGCTCAGTAAATTCACACCAGAAGAGAAGAAAATGAGTGTAAAAAGAAGGGGTTTTGCATTCCATCAAAACATTTTTCACTTCTTATTAGCATCAATTTTGATGTCAATGCAAAGCCTACAAGAGTGTGCGCCTGATTGGCTACCAAACCCTAACACCTAACAATCAGACCAATCAAAGAGCAGCTTGTTGACATGTTTTATCAGCGTATCAAATTCTGCCTTGTGTATATGCTTCGACTCAACTGCCATTTTGGAGTACCAAAATAAGTGAAAAAAAAGTTTGGCCAATTTGAAAATGAGTATCACAATTGCTCTATTAAAAGCATATCTCTGATAGAAGAGCACATAAACCAAAAATAGCGTTTATTGTATGCTGGATCATAAAAATATATATATACGCCTTTGTCATTTTCATAAGTACATGTCCTACTAATAGAATGAATACAGTACAAGCACCTTGGACCAGTTTTATTTGCACAGACTTTGGTGTGATTTGAAAGGATAACCTGAAAGAAATTGATATAAAAAAACATGCTTTCTGTGGTGAAGAGAACCATGCAAGAAATTCAACTTGTCTGATTTTTTTGTGGCTGACAATGGACAGTGTTTTGACTTGTGTGTACAGTTTTTGTAAAGTTTTGAAATAAAACTTTTTTTTTTTCATTTTAACAAGTTTGTGATACTAAATGTGATTCTTAGACTTTTTTTTCCCCAAATTTTATTGCCTGCATTAAATCATAATTGTGACGTCACACCGTTGTATTTTGCAGTAATTCTCCAGAACTACTTCTAGATTTTTAGACCAATATTGTTCTCCCATGACAACATCCGTCTTTAATCTGAAGTTGGAGTGCAACTTCCTTAATTTTAAGAGATTTTGTCTAGAGGAAATACTCTGAACTTGAACTGTATCTTCGATCATCTAAGCCATGGAATGATCAGTCTACTGACTAGGCTAAGCAAACTAGTTGTGAGGAAATTTGACAAGTGGCCTGCATGCATGTATCAGGCTTTTATCTGCTCATCACTCCATTTGTTGGTCTACACAAAATGTTGCATAATAAGATATTTATGCAGATTATATGTAAAATTAATCGGCAGTCTACTGAAATATGGTATGTTTTTACGCAAGAATAATTTGTGCAATATTGTGTTTCATTATCGTCTGTGGCCCTCTGCGATTCTAAGCCAGAAACTTGGTGACTGACTCTCCATTACATAAATAGCAAATGTGGGCAATGCCAAGTCTAGGTGATTGCGCAAGTTTATGATGGTGAATGTCACAGTTGCAATCTGCAAACACTGCATCTCATAAAAGTGCGTCATGCAGTTGAAGGCAGCGTGTTGCCGACCATAACTGGTGTTTCCTAAAATAAACAATTTGATTACCTATTTATACCATAAACAAATGGGACAGTTGTATTCTGTTGTATTTGTCATTAATGATTCTATACCTACCACATAAAATGGAAAGTATTTGCAGCATACACTGTCTGGATCTGCTTTGATATTAGAGGATGCATGTCACTGAAATGTGTGGTCGTCAGGCAGCGTGTGTTCGAATTTCATGTAAATAAACAATGTATTTTACATGCGTTGTATACGTCGTTATGAGTCTCATATCGAACAGAGCGGCACGAAGACTGTCGCCCTTTAAGATACGAAAATTAGAGTAAGTTAATGTAAATATTATGCACAGATTCAAACCCAAAACTAGTCTGGTACAGTATGCAAGTCTAATGCCACTAACTTTCAAAATCTTGCATCCCCTGTATACTTTGAAGAACCACGTTGTGTAGTTCTTTGAATACTCCTGTCTGTAAGATTCTCAAAACTGGCTAATTATGCAACTTAATCATGGGTCGTACTAAAAATGTACTTTACATATGCATTATATAGGTTGTACAGTTACCTTGGGCCTCATCCTAATATCGTGATCAAATGTAACAGAATAATGGCAACATTGTTTTCTTGATAACAACTTTTAACAAGTCATTGTCAATGACACGTCCCTGTTCCGTTCATATTTGAGTGACATATACATTCAAAGCAGCAACAATATAGATGAACTGCATTCAGTAAAACAAAATAGCCACCAGTCAGCCATTTTCAACACAATCCAAAAAAAAAATTTAAACTAAATTTGCCCACGCATGACATAGATTCAGTTCCGGTATGGTGAAAATGTGCAATTTTTGTGAATTTTTGACCTTAAAAGGACTAGCCCAAATGCACAGGCATATGTATGATATGATGTGTATGTGAAGTTTGAACTTGATCTGTCCAGGCATGTCCGAGATATGGATCGAAAACTAAATTCTTTAAAACAAAATGGCCGCCAGTTGGCCATTTTGAACTTGATCCGAAGAAAAATTGGTATGCATCAAGCTTATATTATGTTTAATATATGCACTAAATCTGAACAAAATCCATCCATGC